GTGGTAAACGTCAGAGACCTGCATCACTTTGGGCTTTCCTCCCACGTTAAGCTGACACGCAGCGATATAACTGGAATACTGTTAAAAGCGGCGTTAAAATCAAACCTCTTATGGAAATAAACTACTCAGGGACCGAACCCCTGTAGTGGTCTGATTGGACATTGGCCACCAAGAGTTTTAGTCAGGTGAGCTAAATACAACGGTGACAAACTGAATCTCCCAATGGAAAAATACGGAATGAGAGACCTGATTACACTGGAAACGGACCCGTGAAGATTCCGGGGTAGAATAGGTCTTGAGCAACCCATGCTTGCTGAAAAGGTGACTCTGCTTGTCGTAAAAGGCGACTAACGGGATCGGGTGGTCAGACTCGCTGACTTGGTTGATGCATGTCATCGGTCCCAACTGCGTGGATCGATGCTCGTGATATTAATCACTGGATTGTCTGGTCCAGACTCGATTATTTACAGACCGCCGTCATATAGCTGGAATATTGCTGAGTGCGTTGTTGAACAACAAACCAACCAACCAACACTGGAAACCATTTCAAATACCTGGTTGTTTATGCACAATTGTTTCTGTTATTGATTCATTAGTCTTCATTTAATGATGTTGATACTTGATAAGTGTAACACAGCATAAGCATCAGACAGTGGCAATTACATATACATATACATATACAGTGGCATAAGCTGTTGAACACATGGCAGGCATGGCAGGACAAGATGCCTCGTAGAAGGACATCCCTTGTGAGGTAGGGTATATATGACAGTACTGATATGGCAGGTTAAATATGAAGATACTGTTATCCGTTGTGAAGGTAGGGTATATATGACAGTACTGATATGGCAGGTTATATATGAAGATACTGATATCCGTTGTGAAGGTAGGGTATATATGACAGTACTGATATGGCAGGTTATATATGAAGATACTGATACCCGTTGTGAAGGTAGGGTATATATGACAGTACTGATATGGCAGGTTATATATGAAGATACTGATATCCGTTGTGAAGGTAGGATATATATGACAGTACTGATATGGCAGGTTATATATGAAGATACTGAGGTCCCTTGTGAAGGTAGGTTATATATGGCAGTACTGATATGGTAGGGTATATATGGCAGTACTGATAATGCAGGTTATATATAAAGATACTGATGTTCATTGTGAAGGTAGGTTATATATGACAATACTGATATGGTAGGGTATATATGGCTGTACTGATATGGCAGGTTATATATAAAGATACTGATGTTCATTGTGAAGGTAGGTTATATATGACAATACTCAGATATGGCAGAGTATATATGGCAGTACTGATAAAGCAGGTTATATATAAAGATACTGATGTTCATTATGAAGGTAGGTTATATATGACAATACTGATATGGTAGGGTATATATGGCAGTACTGATAAAGCAGGTTATATATAAAGATACTGATGTTCATTGTGAAGCTAGGTTATATATGACAATACTGATATGGTAGTGTATATATGGCAGTACTGATATGGCAGGTTATACATGAAGATACTGATATCCGTTGTGAAGGTAGGTTATATATGACAATACTGATATGGTAGGGTATATATGGTAGGTTATATATGAAGATACTGATATCCGTTGTGAAGGTAGGTTATATATGACAATACTGATATGGCAGGGTATATATGGCAGTACTGATATGGCAGGTTATACATGAAGATACTGATATCCGTTGTGAAGGTAGGTTATATATGACAATACTGATGTGGTAGGGTATATATGGCAGTACTGATAATGCAGGTTATATATAAAGATACTGATGTTCATTGTGAAGGTAGGTTATATATGATAATACTGATATGGTAGGGTATATATGGCAGTACTGATATGGCAGGTTATACATGAAGATACTGATATCCGTTGTGAAGGTAGGTTATATATGACAATACTGATATGGTAGGGTATATATGGCAGTACTGATATGGCAGGTTAAATATGAAGATACTGATATCCGTTGTGAAGGAAGGTTATGTATGACGGCAAAAATGTCCCTTTTAAACTGTGAATTAAGATGGCAAACACTGCGTGCGCATAATCAAAATTATAACCATCATCACCCTTATCACCTCAGCTTTAACATCGTTTGATTCATATTTTATACAGAGCTACGGATTGCGAAATATGGTGAGCTCTTCTCGACCTTTTTCTGCCATGTTAAATTTCATGTGAATGACGGCGATTTGTTTATCATACACCTATGCCACATACACGTGACTATTATAATATCAAACAGCCAATTTGAAAAGGAAATTGATCAGATGCGTCAGAAATATTTACTTTTCCCCACTACACAGTTATTGGCGTGAGACTACTCACAACGGAAGTGTCTTGTTCAAGTAATGCACATTTGTATCGACTGAGTGTCATGGCGATTTAGCACGGCGCAAGAGATGAAATGGCTGCGCACATTGTCTTTCTCTTTATGATGCTGATTTAGAGAAAATATTCAAATCTTAGATATGGAAAGATAGCTCAGATCGTTGATACAAAGTTGGTATAGTGTATATTTATGTCGGGAAGTTCATGATCAAAACATAAGAATTGAATGACCAAGGCCGAATAGATCGACAGGGCACGTTCACATCATAGCTGTGCCGCAATTTCTTGTCTACCAGTTGTCTTTCATGCTCACCCGTTTTGACAAATAACTGCTGCTTTTTATCCCCCGCCGGGCCAGAATGGCCTGAAGGGGGATTATGTCGTTGCGCAGTCCGTCCGTCTGTCCGTCCCACAGAGGGTACTAAGCTTGTGAAATCAACTCCTCTTACAGTTTCCAGAGAATATCCCTGAAACTCTACACACAAGATGTTGACATGTTGATGATATGCATATCGCAGTCCCGTTTTGGTTCGACTAATTGTGACAGAGTTACTACCCCTGTTTTACGGAGCTTCATTTGCCTTATTGTGAGAGAGGGTACTTAGCTTGTGAAATCAACTCCTACAGTTTCCAGAGAATATCCCTAACACTCTACACACAAGATGTCGACATGTTGATGATACGCATATCGCAGTCCCGTTTCATTTCGACTAATTTTGACAGAGTTACTGCCCCTGTTTTACGGAGCTTCATTTGACTCAGAGCACTATTGTTTCATATGAAATGAGTCATGTGTGATTGCTCAAACTACCTAACAGCGAAAATGAATTACCCTAACCGTTTGACATTTTGTCGCAAAAGGAGATTTCAAAAGTGTGGCCACGACATCTAACCCGAGTTGACGCCATATTGTAAACAAACTGTGTCAAGGTCGGTTTCACATGTGGTAGCTTGGCCCCTGTTTCTGCTATACAAACATAATACAACTATTGAAAACATCAACATAACTTCTTCAGTGATGACAGCAATACCTTTTGCATTTGGGTTAACCGCTTTTGTAAATTTAGATTTCGACTTGTCTTTCCTTTCATTGAAACTGTGATACTGGCGCTATGGTTGGTTTACTGAAATAGTACCTCCCATGAGTCTAATGTACATCGACATGGTACATGCTGTGATTGTACAAGATAATTGATAACCAATTGTGTATGTATATATATCATCAAATACACATTATAAATCTCAGAAAATTGAATATATTATCATAACATGACAGCTCGTATTTCCAACATTCCACCATGGATATTAGATGTAATTAATATTAGATTTACAAATTATTGATGTACACTGTACTCTCGAATAACGTATGACAATCTATTGCGAGTCTTCAACTCTTATTTTATATGTTATCTGAAATGTCAGCAATAAGTAAACGCTTTATATTTTTTCGTTCAATGACGTAAAAATCTGCAGTTTTATTTGTGAAGGCCAGTAGACATGTTAAATAAATGTAAAGAACTAAAACAAAAAAATATCACAAAATAAACTAATTAAAAGTTAAAGACAGAGCCAAAATCTGAGACAGATTCTTACCAGAGCTTAGAATACAAGAATGTAAAACAGTTCAAAAGTGTAACAGACCAAATTGTGGTACTTGCCCTCATGTTTTACAATGTTGTTCTTTTACATTCAAAGACGAAAAAACTTTCTAGGTCCGTGAAAACATGAATTGTGCCTTGAAAAACTTGATTTATGTCATACAATGTACAGGATGCAAGGCCGAATACACTGGACAGACAGGACACGCTAAGAGCGAGAGTGAGAGTCCACTGACAACAAATAAGGAACCCATCTTGTCGGTGTATCCCACTCAGTCAACACATTGATCAGTATGCCGGAAATAAAACACCAAATTTTGTGATATTCCCGTTTTACAAATGTGACAATGATGCACTGAGAAAGATAAAAGAAAGTTATTTTATTAATACTTTCAAACCAAAATTAAATGGCCTGAAATAATTGAATTATTTCATACAATAACATGTATTGAACATTTTACTGCCACTACAATACTTATTTCTGTATGTGTCCTACGCCTGTCTATATTGTGACGTCACAAGGTTAGATTGCAGTTTGATGTCATACTATGTTAGAGTGCACTGTGACGTCAAAACTATCTATCTATCTATCTATCTATCTATCTATCTATCTATCTATCTATCTATCTATCTATCTATCTATTTGAAGACTTGATATTCCAAGTAAATGATATGCATATAGTTGGTTCCGCTTCTGTCCTGGGCCCACTTGGACAAAGCGATATTAGCGCTAAGATGATCCTAACTCCCATACTTTAACATAGACTTATGATAGTCTTAGCGCCAAGATCGCTTTGTGCAAGTGGGCCCTGGAGTCGACATATAGATATAATCTGAAAATATTAAAACATATTTCAACATATTTTGTACATTCATTGTCGTAGGGGATCTTTGTGTTTGTAAAAAGATTTAAAAAACGGCATTGTGCATATATTTCACTGAATATGTAAAACACAATAGACATGATAGACCATTGAAATAAAAGGCAAATAGGATCTTGCACCTTTATGTTACGTTATGGTTCTATTTTTAGCTGAAGACCCGCTCGGAGACAACATGTCAAAGTCAGCTAGAATTTTGTTCTTTTTTAACAAACTTGCTCGAAAGAAACACATCAATCCAAGTGAAGAAACCTCATTGGCCAGAGTTCTTACAACATGTGATCTGATTGGTTTAGGTAAGTCCACAAGAATTACTGTCTGCATGATGTTAATTTTTCACCAAAGTCATAAAATAAGTGTACGTAGTCCTTTTGAAATTTAAATAACCCTCTTCTTAACCTCCTTACGACATAACTGTGGATGTGTAGCTCTACCATTGTATGATATAGTACTGGCAGGTCCATGGTGTGATAGAATTCACTTTCATCACCAACTTCACAAAATCTATACCAGGGAATTCCCTATAAGACATACCGTATTCGACGTAATAAGCCCCCAGTGCCCTCTCAAAATTAGAAATAGGGGGCTCCTATTAAAATATTATTTTGGTGAAAAACAACAGAGTTGAAAGATAAATTTCGTGGTTTATGCTGACAGCCTGAAATGTTTATATACGACATATATTTTTCCAGAATGTAATTACCTATAATTTAGGGTGCATATAACACATGAGTGCGTATTATACGCGAATAAATACGTCTTGTGTACATTGATCAGTCCGAAGGGGTGCTAATTGGGATTGTTCACTAGTCAATATATTAGCAAATATCGCTGTGGGCGCTTATTAGAGCGGGGCGCTTATTACGTCGAATACGGTATTAAAATGAGACAAGTCAGGTCAATCAGGGACAATTGTATGTGAATGTGTCTTGAACGTATATATCCATGTATTTAGTCAGTATAAATGCAAATATCTGACTTCTGTCACGACATTTAGGCATGGATGTCTCACAGCAAGTTAAGACTTAATGACGAGAAGACCGAGTCAGTTCTAATTGCCTCTGTTAAACTTGATACAGTTAGTATTAGAGTAGTATCAATGCCCATTTCTTCCAGTGTAATAGACTTTGGTTTCATCATTAATATTATTGACACTATGTTTTTCCTGCTTATTGCCAGGGGGCACGGGTGGCCCAGTCGTCTAAGGCGCCACGATTCGCTGTGCAGAGTTGCGTCCCTTCGGCACGCTAGAAACCTATGATTGTGGGTTCAAATCCCGGTTCACCCCGATTATGTTTCTAGGTTTGTCAGCACCATACCCTTGCTCGTGGGTTTCACTGAAGTGGTAAACGTCTGAGACCTGCATAACCTCGACACGCCGTGAAGCGGGGCTTCGGGGTAGTTTAAATGTTCGCTTGTCAGACCGAAGACCCGGGTTTGATTCCCCACATGGGTACATTGTGTGAAACCCATTTCTGGTGTCCCTCGCCGTGATATTGCTGGAATATTGCTTAACAGCAGTGTGAAAACATACTCACTCACTCATTCACTCACTCGCTAAACGGCTGCTGTCTAACATTGGCAAAATCTGACCCAGCATGACAAAAGTTGCCACCAAAAGATGGGCTTTTTCAAAATTTAACTCAAAGATCAATTCTTGCCAGTACTCCTAAAAGTCTTCTTTGCTGACAGCAATCCACCCAGAATGACCCAGAAAGATCCAGGGTAGAATAGGTTTTCAGCAACCAATGCTTGCCGTAAAAGGCGACTATGCTTGTCGTAATAAGCGACTTACGGGATCGGGTGGTCAGGCTTGCTGACTTGGTTGATGCATGTCATTGTATCCCAATTGCGTGGATTGATGCTCAGGATGGCATTAAGTACTCTAAAAAATCTTCAGCATCACTTAACATATTCAGACACACAATAAAAATTCATCATCAACTTCGGCTCCAAATGAATGAATGTGGTTTGTGAATATATTATGCCAAAATCCAATTTGCAAGTTAATGATTTTTGTGGCCATTTTTGCCATGTTACAAAATTCAAATACCGTATTCGACGAAATAAACGCCACGCTCTAATAAGCGCCCACGGCGACATTTGCTAAGATATTGTCTAGTGAACAATCCCAATTAGCACCCCTTCCAATTGATCAATGTACACAAGACGTATTTATTCGCGTATAATACCCACACGTGTGTTATATGCACCCTTAATTATGGGCATTTAATTCTGGAAAAATATATCTGTCGTGCATAAACATTTCAGGCTGTCAGCATAAACCACGAAATTTATCTTTCAACTCTGTTTTTTTCCCACCAATATAACATTCTAATAAGAGCCCCCTTTTTCTAATTTTGAGAGCGCCCTGGGCGCTTATTACGTCGAATATGGTAGATCTTCTCAAAGTCTGTATATGATTCAGTATGAAATAACCATTTTGTATAATTTTAGTCCATTGTGAATTTTGTGGTATAACACATGTGTTTCTGCGCACAGAATGACATTTCAATGTTATAGACATTTCTAAGAGATACTCGGATTTTGGGGGTGTTTGGAAAGAAAGGGGTGGTGCTTAGCTTTATATGTGTGACAAGCTGTATTGGTGTTCCATGTAGCCGAACTAGATCACGCTACAGGACTCACTGACTCACTGACTCACACACTCACTCACTCACTCACTCACTGGCATCGGGAGTACCCTGGGTGCAGGTATCTCCGTCGTAGCGGGACAGGTAGCTCGTCACTCACTCACTCACTCACTCACTCACTCACTTCGTGTTACAGGTATTGGGAGTACCCTGGGTGCAGGTATCTACGTCGTAGCGGGGCAGGTATCTCGTCACTCACTCACTCACTCACTGACTTCGTGTTACAGGTATCGGGAGTACCCTGGGTGCAGGTATCTACGTCGTAGCGGGGCAGGTAGCTCATCACTCACTCATTCACTTCGTGTTACAGGTATCGGGAGTACCCTGGGTGCAGGTATCTACGTCGTAGCGGGGCAGGTAGCTCGTCACTCACTCACTCACTCACTCACTCACTCTGTTACATACAGGTATCGGGAGTACCCTGGGTGCAGGTATCTACGTTGTAGCGGGGCAGGTAGCTCGTCACTCACTCACTCACTCACTTCGTGTTACAGGTATCGGGAGTACCCTGGGTGCAGGTATCTACGTTGTAGCGGGGCAGGTAGCTCGTCTCTCACTCACTCACTCACTTCGTGTTCAGGTATCGGGAGTACCCTGGGTGCAGGTATCTACGTTGTAGCGGGGCAGGTAGCTCGTCACTCACTCACTCACTCACTTCGTGTTACAGGTATCGGGAGTACCCTGGGTGCAGGTATCTACGTTGTAGCGGGGCAGGTAGCTCGTCACTCACTCACTCACTCACTTCGTGTTACAGGTATCGGGAGTACCCTGGGTGCAGGTATCTACGTTGTAGCGGGGCAGGTAGCTCGTCACTCACTCACTCACTCACTCACTTCGTGTTACAGGCATCGGGAGTACCCTGGGTGCAGGTATCTACGTCATAGCGGGGCAGGTATCTCGTCACTCACTCACTCACTCACTCACTTCGTGTTACAGGTATCGGGAGTACCCTGGGTGCAGGTATCTATGTCGTAGCGGGGCAGGTAGCTCGTCACTCACTCACTCACTCACTCTGTGTTACAGGTATCGGGAGTACCCTGGGTGCAGGTATCTACGTTGTAGCGGGGCAGGTACCTCGTCACTCACTCACTCACTTCGTGTTACAGGTATCAGGAGTACCCTGGGTGCAGGTATCTACGTCGTAGCTGGGCAGTTAGCTCGTCATTGACTCACTCACTCACTCACTCTGTTACAGGTATCGGGAGTACCCTGGGTGCAGGTATCTACGTTGTAGCGGGGCAGGTAGCTCGTCACTGACTCACTCACTCACTCACTCTGTGTTACAGGTATCGGGAGTACCCTGGGTGCAGGTATCTACGTTGTAGCGGGGCAGGTAGCTCGTCATTGACTCACTCACTCACTCACTCTGTGTGACAGGTATCGGAGTACCCTGGGTGCAGGTATCTACGTTGTAGCGGGGCAGGTAGCTCGTCACTCACTCACTCACTCACTTCGTGTTACAGGTATCGGGAGTACCCTGGGTCCAGGTATCTATGTTGTAGCGGGGCAGGTAGCTCGTCACTCACTCACTCACTCACTTCGTGTTACAGGTATCGGGAGTACCCTGGGTGCAGGTATCTACGTTGTAGCGGGGCAGGTAGCTCGTCACTCACTCACTCACTCACTCACTTCGTGTTACAGGCATCGGGAGTACCCTGGGTGCAGGTATCTACGTCATAGCGGGGCAGGTATCTCGTCACTCACTCACTCACTCACTCACTTCGTGTTACAGGTATCGGGAGTACCCTGGGTGCAGGTATCTACGTCGTAGCGGGGCAGGTAGCTCGTCACTCACTCACTCACTCACTCTGTGTTACAGGTATCGGGAGTACCCTGGGTGCAGGTATCTACGTTGTAGCGGGGCAGGTAGCTCGTCACTCACTCACTCACTTCGTGTTACAGGTATCAGGAGTACCCTGGGTGCAGGTATCTACGTCGTAGCTGGGCAGGTAGCTCGTCATTGACTCACTCACTCACTCACTCTGTTACAGGTATCGGGAGTACCCTGGGTGCAGGTATCTACGTTGTAGCGGGGCAGGTAGCTCGTCACTGACTCACTCACTCACTCACTCTGTGTTACAGGTATCGGGAGTACCCTGGGTGCAGGTATCTACGTTGTAGCGGGGCAGGTAGCTCGTCATTGACTCACTCACTCACTCACTCTGTGTTACAGGTATCGGGAGTACCCTGGGTGCAGGTATCTACGTTGTAGCGGGGCAGGTAGCTCGTCACTCACTCACTCACTCACTTCGTGTTACAGGTATCGGGAGTACCCTGGGTGCAGGTATCTACGTCGTAGCGGGGCAGGTAGCTCGTCAAACAGCAGGCCCTTCTGTTGTCCTGTCCTTTCTTATAGCAGCTGTGGCATCAGTTTTCGCAGGTGAGTGTTTCAAGTTCACAAACCATTGCAAAATTGTGGTAATTTTTAAAAAGTTTATGCGTAAAACAAGCTTATTGATTTGCAAAGACAGCTGTTATACTGCTGCCAATAATAACCATGTAATTTAATTTCATAAATGATGGAAATCATGAAATCAGCATATTACTCTTGAACCATAACAGAATGTTAGTTAGTGATGAATTTATCATTTTTCATGCATAAATAAGTTTTAACTGGACCTGAGGCATTAGGTAAGTTATTTATTATACATACCGTATTCAGCATAATAAGCGCCCAGGGCGCTTATTAGAATATTATTTTGCTGAAAAGATAAATTTCGTGGTTTATGCTGACAGCCAGAAATGTTTATGTACGACAGATATATTTTTCCAGAATTCATTTGCCCATAATTAAGGGTGCATATAACACTCGAGTGCTATATAATAATAATAATAATAATAATAATAATAATAATAATAATATATGTGAATAAATAAGTCTTGTGTACATTGATCAGTCGGAAAGGGATGCTAACTGAGATTGTTCACTCTCTAATATATTAGCAAATATCGCCGTGGGCGCTTATTAGAGCAGGGTGCCTATTTTGTCGAATACGGTATTAATGATATGATTGACTATATGAATTATTGAATATGTTGACACACATTCAACCAGGTCCAGCATTTTATCCAACCAATCCTCATGTTAGCAGCCTATTGTGTCAAGCAAGGTCAGTGTGAACCTACTGTGTATGGACACCATGAGTGAGTGAGTGAGTGAGTATGGTTTTACGCCGCTTTTAGCAATATTCCAGCAATATCACGGCGGGGGACACCAGAAATGGGCTTCACACATTGTACCCATGTCGGGAATCGAACCCGGGTCTTCGGCGTGACGAGCAAACGCTTTAACCACTAGGCTACCCGACCGACCCTGGACACCATGAGATGTTCTGAGCTCATGTATAGTACTCAACTTTTGACAGGGATAATCAATTGTCAAATGTGTTCAATATAAACTTGTGGTATGAGAATCAGTTTTGTGTGTCATGGAAAAAAATATCCCTATCAAACACGAAGCAGTATATTATGTGTGATTTGGCGATGTCTGCAGGGATATGCTATGCTGAGTTTGCTGCCCGGGTCCCGAAAGCAGGATCAGCCTATGTGTACAGCTATGTTACTGTCGGGGAGCTGATTGCCTTTGTCATTGGCTGGAACCTGATCCTGGAATATGTGATAGGTAAGAGTGAGTGAGTGAGTGAGTGAGTGAGTGAGTGAGTGAGTTTGGTTTCATGCTGCCTTTTGCAAAATCAAGATGAGGGACACCAGGCTTGGCACCTGTCTTTTTTTTACGCCGCACTCAGCAATATTCCAGCTATATGTTGGCGGTCTGTAAATAATCGAGTTTGGACCAGACAAACCAGTGATTGACATCATGAGCATCGATCTATGCAATTGGGATATGATGCCATGCATCAAACAAGTCAGCGAGCCTGACCACCTGATCCCATTAGTCGCCTCTCATGACAAGCAGGGTTGCTGAAGACCTATTCTAACCCGGTTCTTCGTGTGGCCATATTGAAACTGAACCCAGAACTTCAGTGTGATGAGCCAGTGCTTCAACCTCTTGGCTACCCCACCTCCTCTTGATGGGTAAGGAGAACGGGAATCGTTGAAATGTATATTCTTAAGGGTGCCACAGGGTATATATTCATGTATACCTTAAAATTTAAGTGTGTCCAGAGTTTTTGGGGTTGTGGGTATTTTACCCATGCATTTTAAAATCATTGGGTATCAGTAATTCTATCTGGGTATTCAAATTTCTGTTACCCACTAGTTTTTACACATATGGGTATTTAAGTTAAATATTTAAAAACACTGTTCATCTAGTCCCTGCAAACTGGTGTCGTGTGGGTACGAGAGCTTTATAGGACTAAAAAATACCACGATACTTCCACAAGAAAGTGTGATGGCAAATGATCATGATGTAACTGTCATCGTGGAGTTTGGCAAGGTTGACGGAATGCCCCTTTATAATTTCAAAATAAGTTGCTGATATGCTAATCCACGGGTTACTTCACAATATTTTGATGATACGCACAAGTTTTATTTTTGTAGTGTATCTGTAATGTTTGTTGCGTATTTGATACGCTTGGATTTTATTTTACTGCATATTTCTTCATTTCTGATGCCTATTTTACGCAGATACGCAGCTTATCTGGAGCTCTGGTGTCAATGAGAATAATAGTTTTGATCCATCTTTGAACTTTGTTATTGAATTCACCATGAGTTAAATAATAAACACTTGTAATGCACAAAACTTGCCACCTTCCTTTGCATTATGATTGATAATACCCTTTTAGTTTCTGAATTCATACCATATTTTCTTGAGTACTGTGCACACTTTTTTCCAAAAGAACACAGCTGTGTAGAAGGGGGTGCGCATTATACATGCCGTAATGAGTTTCGATATTTTTTCCTCCAACGCAAAGACATTACCGTGAGCACGTAACACTGGAAATACCATGTCAACAAATCCATACTGGAGTAATCTTGCAATTACACTGTCTGGTTATAAAAAGTGTTCATTGTATATCTGGACTAATGTTTGTAACTTATTTCAAAATTCCTTTAAATATTGTTTAAATTAATTTTGGCGAAATCGTGTTTGAAGCGATCAGAAGATCGCACAACTCACCGTTATTAACAGCAACCACGGTCAGATTACCGCTATTGGTGCCTTGAAACGAACTTTAGTTGACAGAGAATGGATACATATATCATAAATGCCATACTTTGACTCGATCATTATAAGTCATATTTGTTGTAGTTTGACGATTCTATGTCAACATGTAAGTTTATGAAATCATGTTTAGATGGTTTACTTTTCCATGTGTTTGTCCGGATGTACGTTTAGCACTGGCTCCACAATGTTAACATCATAACATATATTATTTGAAACCTCGGATTAACCAATCAGAGTTAAGTATTTTCCAATTGTCAAATAATTCCTGCGCATTATACGCGTCCTCATCACGCCTCTCTGCACTCCAGGCACAGCGAGTGTGGCGCGAGCATGGAGCTCCTATTTCGACTCCCTCGTCGACAACAAAATACAGGACTTCTTCAAGGAAAACATGCCTATGCACGTTTCAGGGTTGTCGGAATACCCTGATTTCTTCGCATTCAGCATCACCTTAGTTCTGACAGGTGAGGGACATACAGATGGTCACAGCACCACAGCCTTTATTATTTTAATGTTTTTAAATGAAGTAACTTTGTTTCTGTGACCAAATGCAGGTCTATGCTAGAAGTTGAAAGAGTTACATGTAATTGTAAAGTGAATTAAAGATTTGATCAAGCCCACTTTCCTGCCTAAATAAGATTGTACTGTCGCATAGTCCAGTCAAAGAACGTTTCACAAAATCAACATCCACGACTGGTACACCTTCCTGTTCATCTCTCCTCCCCCCCCCCCCCCCCCCATCTTGTTGCCTAAAAAATAAAAGTTTCTAAAATTTCTAAATAACAAAAGGCACCAGTTCAGTATGTACCTGACAAACCTGCAAAGTTTCATGAAAAAATATTAAACGGTTTGTGAGTTATGCTCCGGAAATGAACCCTACCCTCACAGAACCTAAGTCCATCTTGTTGCCATGGAAACGTAAAAAATAAAAATGTCTAAATAGCATAAGGCATCAGTTCAGCATGTACTTGACAGACCTGCAAAGTTTCATGAAAAAATATTGAACGGTTTCTGAGTTATGCTCTGGAAACAAAACGTGACGGACGGACAGAAGTACGGACGGACGTATATACGGACGGAGCCCGTTTCTATATCCCCTGCGAACTTTGTTGGGCGGGGGATAAAAAGGATATATTGATTAAAAGTTGAATGTCGGAGATCAAGTTGAGTTCCTGTTTGTGTAGCAGGGTGTCACTAACTGTTGATTTGGGATGTTCCGCATGTTACAGTCCTACTTGCTGTTGGTGTGAAGGAGTCGACGATGTTCAACAACATCTTCACCGTTGTCAACCTGCTGGTTGTTACCTATGTCGTCGTGTGCGGGCTGTTCAAGGTTGATGGTGACAACTGGTCAAAATCGGAATCAGAGGTAACACTCTCAACTCCTACCTTTCTATCACTCTTAATACGCCCCGTGAGGAACTGGGGTAGAATAGGTCTTCAGCAATCCATTCTTGTCGTAAGAGGCGACTAATGGGATTGGGTGGTCAGGCTCGCTGACTTGGTTAAAGCATGTCATCGATCCCAATTGCATGGATCGATGCTCATGATATCAATCACTGGTTTGTCTGGTCGAGACTCGATTATTTACAGACTGCCATCATATAGCTGGAATATTACTGAGTGCGGCATTAAACAACAAACCAACCAACACTGTTGATACACCTGTTTCGTACCTGTAGCTCACCTGCTAGACTCACACCAGAGACAATAGACTGGAGGTCGCTTTCTTGACTTGTCACGTTTCATAGCTTTTTACTATGCCATCATTTTCCCTAGCAAGTATAATGCAGTACATACCCTAATTGCTAGCCCATCAACGCATACCTCAATAAAGTACAATAAGACAATCCCCAAATCTGGTGACAATTACACCTGGGAGAATGCAAGGGACAGTGTGAGGTCATCACCTCGGGACAGGTGTTAGGTAATTACCTCAGGTTATAGGCCGTTTCATACATGCATGACAATACACGCATATTTTTTTAGTACAGTAAAAAACGTTTATAACGAACACGCTTATAACGAACTGACGGATATAACGAACTTACTTTTTTGTCCCGACTATTTGCTGTAGTTATGCTGTATATATGCTTATTACGAACTACGGTTATAACGAACTAAAATTAGTAGTCCCTTTGAGTTCGTTATAACCGTAGTTTACTGTATATCATCATTTTATCTGTAAAAGTACTTTTGTAGGCTAATCATAGTGTCAGGAAGGATAGGCTAGATTAGGTATATTTGCGTGATTTTGATATACAGTATTACTATGGTTATAACAAATTCAAAGGGACCACTAACTTAAGTTCATTATAACCGATGGGACTATAAAAACAGTTTGTTATCCGTTGGTTCGTTATATACGTGTTCATTATAAACATAGTTTTACTGTATGTTATTTTCATAACCCTATGATTCGTATTTATTAAAAGGCCAGAAAGGCATTTTTCAAGCATTTCCAAGGATACATTAGAAGAGCAATTGAGGAATAAAATCCTTGCTCATGCTATGCCGCCCCCAGTCACTGTTAGGGGTGGTGAGGTAGCCTAGCGGTTACAGTATTTGTTTGTCCTGCTGAAGGCCATAGTTCGATTCCCACATGGTTGAAAGGTGTAAAGTTCATTTCTGTTGTCTCCTGACCGCCTCCGTGGTCTAGTGGTAGAGCGTCTGCCCGGAGAGCGGAAGGTCCGGGGTTCGATCCCCGACCAAGTCATACCAAAAGACGTTAAAAGATGGTGCTTGTTGTTACCCTGTCTGGCGCTCGGCATTAAGGGGCTAAAACAAGGACTGGTCGGCTCGGAGTCAGTATACTGTGTCTGAGTGGGGTATTCATGTTACACTGCGGCATAGTATCTCAGTGAGCTAGCACTATAAATAGGCATCAGTCCGGTCTAGTACATGCAGCCACACACACACACACACACACACGTACATGCACGTCGCTATGTAAGTGCAATAATCTTGGACGCGATGTTAAACCCCATTTCACCTCACCTCACCTCATCTTACCTCACCTCTGATGTCTCCTGTCATGACATTGCTAGTGGCGTAAAACAATAGTCACTCAAACTGTTGCAGGTTCCAAGTGATGCGGGGACGGGGGGGTTTATGCCCTTCGGCTTTTCAGGGATGATGTCCGGCGCAGCCACCTGCTTCTACGCCTTTGTCGGCTTCGACTGCGTAGCTACCACAGGTAGGATGTCTACTTGTTATGTCCAGTGTAACCACACACAACCATTTTGTACCCTTGTTTATGACGGTTGCCTGAGGGAGTCCTAACATGTCATGTCTTATATCTCATCAGTGTTTGGGTGCGGTGGGGTAGCCTAGCTGTTAAAGCGTTCAACCTGGGTTCGATTCCCACATGGGTACAATGTGTGAAGCCAATTTCTGGTGTCCCCCGCCGTGATATTGCTGGAATGTTGCTGAGTGCAGCGTTAAACAAACAATATCTAATGGACTACCTAATGTTTTTGGCCTGTAACAAGTTCTAATGTTTTTCTCTACCTGTAACGAGTTCTAATGTTTTTCTCTACCTGTAACGAGTTCTAATGTTTTTCTCTACCTGTAACGAGTTCTAATGTTTTTCTCTACCTGTAACGAGATCTAATGTTTTTCTCTACCTGTAACGAGATCTAATGTTTTTCTCTACCTGTAACGAGTTCTAATGTTTTGCTCTACCTGTAACGAGTTCTAATGTTTTCCTCTACCTGTAACAAGTTCTAATGTTTTTCTCTACCTGTAATGAGTTCTAATGTTTTTCTCTACCTGTAACACGTTCTAATGTTTTTCTCTACCTATAACGAGATCTAATGTTTTTCTCTACCTGTAACGAGTTCAAATGTACTTATGTTTGTGCCTGTACAGGTGAAGAGGCCAAGAACCCCCAGCGTGCGATCCCCATGAGCATCGTGGTGTCCCTGTTGGCCATCACCCTGGCGTACTGTAGCCTGTCCACGGTCCTTACCCTCCTCTGCCCCTACTACCTCCTCGACCCCAACGCTCCACTCCCCCTTGTGTTCGACCGGCTGGGCTGGGGGGTGGCCAAATACATCATCGCCGTGGGGGCAATCTGTGGACTCTCTACCAGGTGGGTGTCAAGCTCCTCACAGCGATATCCCATTCGCGGAGCTCTCTATACTATCGCTGCCAAGCTCCTCACAGCGAAAGCTCCCCACTGTGATAGGTGGCACAACCATGCTTGGAGTTGAACTCGCAGCTGACGTGAGGTGAAATGGGGTTTGACATCGCATCCAACATTATTGCACTTATATAGCGACGTGCATGCATGTGTGTGTGTGTGTGTGTGTGTGTGTGTGTGTGTGTGTCTGTGTGTGTGTGTGTGTGTGTGTGTGTGTGTGTTTGTGTGTGTGTGTGCTTGTACTAGACCGGACTGATGCTGATTTATAGTGCTAGCTCAATGAGATACCAGTATACTGACTCCGAGCCAACCAGTCCTTGTTTAAGCCCCGTAATGCCGAGTGCCAGACAGGGTAACAACAAGTACCATCTTTTAACGTCTTTTGGGATAGAACTCCAGACCATCCGCTCTCCAGGTGGACGCTCTACCACTAGACCATGGAGGCGGTTCTTGCAGCTGACTGACTGTTATGTTTACAAACAAGTGATGACTGCCGTGATGCCAAATATTCTTACACCTGCTTAATTATTTTCTTTGTTAATTTGAATTTCTGTTTCATTACAACTATCATGTAATTCGCATAGTAAAAATGTAAGGGATAAGTGGTTTATTTTCCTGTCGTCTGCAATCTCAAACCAATCCGATCAAACGAACAAAAGTTAAATTCATCTGGGAAAAATAGTTTGTCGTAAACCTTTTAAAAATTCACAAGGATTGCATTCTCAGAGACATAAACAAAAGTATAAACGTTACTACATTTGGGGTCAGAGGTCTAATTTCAAGATTCTTGTAATGGTCATGCCCACACTGGTGGCAGCGATGTTACACAGAGTGTGATGAAGGTGTCAAGTGCTGGAATGCAGCTTGCGTGGGTGTATGTCCAGAAAGCTTCATACTGGGTTATCAGTGTTGTATCAGCTGGGGGGTTGGGTGTGGGTAGTAGAAGGGTGGGTGGTTGGCCTGGTGGTGGGGTCTGGGATGGTGTGGGGGTGTAGGATAGTGGGTGGTTCGGTGGTTGAGGTCTGAGATGGTGGGTAGTGGGGCTGTAGGATAGTAGGTGGTTCGGTGGTGGGGGGTTGAGATGATGGGTGGGTAGTGGGGCTGTAGGATAGTAGGTGGTTCAGTGGTGGAGGTCTGAGATGGTGGGTAGTGGGGCTGTAGGATAGTGGGTGGTTCAGTGGTGGAGGTCTGAGATTGTGGATAGTTGGGCTGTAGGATAGTAGGTGGTTCGGTGATGGAGGTCTGAGATGGTGGGTAGTGGGGCTGTAGGATAGTAGGTGGTTTGGTGGTGGGGGTCTGAGATGATGGGTGGGTAGTGGGGCTGTAGGATAGTGGGTGGTTCAGTGGTGGAGTTCTGAGATGGTGGGTAGTGGGGCTGTAGGATAGTGGGTGGTTCGGTGGTGGAGTTCTGAGATGGTGGGTAGAGGGGCTGTAGGATAGTAGGTGGTTCGGTGATGGGTGTTTGAGATGATGGTTGGGTATTGGGGCTGTAGGATAGTAGGTGGTTCGGTGATGGGGGTTTGAGATGATGGGTGGGTAGTGGGGCTGTAGGATAGTAGGTGGTTCAGTTGTGGAGTTCTGAGATTGTGGGTAGTGGGGCTGTAGGATAGTAGGTGGTTCGGTGATGGGGGTTTGAGATGAATGGTGGGTAGTTGGGCTGTAGGATAGTAGGTGGTTTGGTGGTGGAGTTCTGAGATGGTGGGTAGTGGGGCTGTAGGATAGTAGGTGGTTCGGTGGTGGGGGTTTGAGATTGTGCGTAGTGGGGCTGTAGGATAGTGGGGGTTTGTTGGTGGAGTTCTGAGATGGTGGGTAGTGGGACTGTAGGATAGTAGGTGGTTCGGTGATGGGGGTTTGAGATGAATGGTGGGTAGTTGGGCTGTAGGATAGTAGGTGGTTTGGTGGTGGAGTTCTGAGATGGTGGGTAGTGGGGCTGTAGGATAGTAGGTGGTTCGGTGATGGGGGTTTGAGATGATGGGTGGGTAGTGGGGCTGTAGGATAGTAGGTGGTTTGGTGGTGGAGTTCTGAGATGGTGGGTAGTGGGGCTGTAGGATAGTAGGTAGTTTGGTGGTGTGGGTTTGAGATGGTGGGTAGTGGGGCTGTAGGATAGTGGGTGGTTCATTGGTGGAGTTCTGAGATGGTGGGTAGTGGGACTGTAGGATAGTAGGTGGTTCGGTGGTGGGGGTTTGAGATGGTGGGTAGTGGGGCTGTAGGAGAGTAGGTGGTTCGGTGGTTGGGGTTTGAGATGGTGTGTGGGTAGTGGGGCTGTAGGATAGTAGGTAGTTCGGTGATGGAGTTCTGAAATGGTGGGTAGTGGGGCTGTAGGATAGTAGGTGGTTCGGTGGTGGGGGTTTGAGATGATGGATGGGTAGTGGGGCTGTAGGATAGTAGGTGGTTCGGTGGTTGAGGTCTGAGATGGTGGGTAGTGGGGCTGTAGGATAGTAGGTGGTTCGGTGGTGGGGGGTTGAGATGATGGGTGGGTAGTGGGGCTGTAGGATAGTAGGTGGTTCAGTGGTGGAGGTCTGAGATGGTGGGTAGTGGGGCTGTAGGATAGTGGGTGGTTCAGTGGTGGAGGTCTGAGATTGTGGATAGTTGGGCTGTAGGATAGTAGGTGGTTCGGTGATGGAGGTCTGAGATGGTGGGTAGTGGGGCTGTAGGATAGTAGGTGGTTTGGTGGTGGGGGTCTGAGATGATGGGTGGGTAGTGGGGCTGTAGGATAGTGGGTGGTTCAGTGGTGGAGTTCTGAGATGGTGGGTAGTGGGGCTGTAGGATAGTGGGTGGTTCGGTGGTGGAGTTCTGAGATGGTGGGTAGAGGGGCTGTAGGATAGTAGGTGGTTCGGTGATGGGTGTTTGAGATGATGGTTGGGTATTGGGGCTGTAGGATAGTAGGTGGTTCGGTGATGGGGGTTTGAGATGATGGGTGGGTAGTGGGGCTGTAGGATAGTAGGTGGTTCAGTTGTGGAGTTCTGAGATTGTGGGTAGTGGGGCTGTAGGATAGTAGGTGGTTCGGTGATGGGGGTTTGAGATGAATGGTGGGTAGTTGGGCTGTAGGATAGTAGGTGGTTTGGTGGTGGAGTTCTGAGATGGTGGGTAGTGGGGCTGTAGGATAGTAGGTGGTTCGGTGGTGGGGGTTTGAGATTGTGCGTAGTGGGGCTGTAGGATAGTGGGGGTTTGTTGGTGGAGTTCTGAGATGGTGGGTAGTGGGACTGTAGGATAGTAGGTGGTTCGGTGATGGGGGTTTGAGATGAATGGTGGGTAGTTGGGCTGTAGGATAGTAGGTGGTTTGGTGGTGGAGTTCTGAGATGGTGGGTAGTGGGGCTGTAGGATAGTAGGTGGTTCGGTGATGGGGGTTTGAGATGATGGGTGGGTAGTGGGGCTGTAGGATAGTAGGTGGTTTGGTGGTGGAGTTCTGAGATGGTGGGTAGTGGGGCTGTAGGATAGTAGGTAGTTTGGTGGTGTGGGTTTGAGATGGTGGGTAGTGGGGCTGTAGGATAGTGGGTGGTTCATTGGTGGAGTTCTGAGATGGTGGGTAGTGGGACTGTAGGATAGTAGGTGGTTCGGTGGTGGGGGTTTGAGATGGTGGGTAGTGGGGCTGTAGGAGAGTAGGTGGTTCGGTGGTTGGGGTTTGAGATGGTGTGTGGGTAGTGGGGCTGTAGGATAGTAGGTAGTTCGGTGATGGAGTTCTGAAATGGTGGGTAGTGGGGCTGTAGGATAGTAGGTGGTTCGGTGGTGGGGGTTTGAGATGATGGATGGGTAGTGGGGCTGTAGGATAGTAGGTGGTTCGGTGGTGGAGTTCTGAGATGGTGGGTAGTGGGCTTGTTCGATGATGGGGATTTGAGATGGTGGGTAGTGGGCCTGTAGGATAGTAGGTGGATCAGTGGTGGAGTTCTGAGATTATGGGTAGTGGGGCTGGAGGATAGTAGGTAGTTCGACGGTGGGGGTTTGAGATGGTGGGTATTGGGGCTGTCGGATAGTGGGTGGTTCGGTGGTGGGGTTTGAGATGATGGGTGGGTAGTGGGGCTGTAGGATAGTAGGTGGTTCGGTGATGAGGGTTTGAGATGGTGGGTCGGTAGTGGGGCTGTAGGAAAGTAGGTGGTTCGGTGGTGGGGGTTTGAGATGGTGGGTAGTGGGGCTGTAGGAGAGTAGGTGGTTCGGTGGTTGGGGTTTGAGATGGTGTGTGGGTAGTGGGGCTGTAGGATAGTAGGTAGTTCGGTGATGGAGTTCTGAAATGGTGGGTAGTGGGGCTGTAGGATAGTAGGTGGTTCGGTGGTGGGGGTTTGAGATGATGGATGGGTAGTGGGGCTGTAGGATAGTAGGTGGTTCGGTGGTGGAGTTCTGAGATGGTGGGTAGTGGGCTTGTTCGATGGTGGGGATTTGAGATGGTGGGTAGTGGGCCTGTAGGATAGTAGGTGGATCAGTGGTGGAGTTCTGAGATTATGGGTAGTGGGGCTGGAGGATAGTAGGTAGTTCGACGGTGGGGGTTTGAGATGGTGGGTATTGGGGCTGTCGGATAGTGGGTGGTTCGGTGGTGGGGTTTGAGATGATGGGTGGGTAGTGGGGCTGTAGGATAGTAGGTGGTTCGGTGATGAGGGTTTGAGATGGTGGGTCGGTAGTGGGGCTGTAGGAAAGTAGGTGGTTCGGTGGTGGGGGTTTGAGATGATGGGTGGGTATTGGGGCTGTAGGATAGTAGGTGGTTTGGTGGTGGGGGTTTGAGATGATGAATGGGTAGTGGGGCTGTAGGAAAGTGGAGGGGTGTTTCAGTGGTGGGGGTTTGAGATGGTGGGTGTCTGAGATGGTGGGTGTCTGAGATGGTGGATGTTTGAGATGGTTGGTGGGAGGGTCTGTAGGAAAGTGGAGGGGTGTTTCAGTGGTGGGTGTCTGAGATGGTGGGTGTCTGAGATGGTAGGTAGTGGGGCTCTAGGAAAGTGGAGGGGTGTTTCAGTGGTGGGGGTTTGAGATGGTGGGTGTCTGAGATGGTGGATGTCTGAGATGGTGGATGTTTGAGATGGTTGGTGGGAGGGTCTGTAGGAAAGTGGGTGGTTGGTTTGGTGGGCAAATGGGTGGGTTGTTGATGCTGTTTAAAGTGCAAGATGTCTGATATTTTTACAATGGAATGTATTCAAAAGTATTTACTTCCGAGACGGCCTTTTTTAAAAAAAAGAGTGTTGCTTGACTGACAAAAGACAACTATAAATGCATCTATCAGTTGTTATTCAAAATATGTATTGTTACTTTAATTGGGTAATTTTTTGTAGTATATAATTATATTTATATTATCCATCAATGTTAGCTGGCTGGGCGTATACATGTTAATGTCTACTTTTATTTTATTTTCTTATTGTGGTTTTCAGGTTCTGTTCAGACAAATTCGTAAACTGAAAAGTTTATTTTTCATCATCCTTTTTTGGTCTGAAAAAAAGCCAAAAATATTTGGGACAAACAAACACCATCAATATGTCTTGACGGATCCCAATATCCTACAGATATACTTGGCTGCTGACAACTGACAAGTGCTGTTCTATTTGCAGTCTTCTCGGCGCCATGTTTCCTCTACCCAGAATCCTCTATGCAATGGGGAATGATGGCCTTCTGTTTCGGTTCCTTGGTAAAGTTATCCCTCGTTTCCAGACCCCCGTGGTAGGGACGATGATCTCAGGTGTATTTGCAGGTAAGTCATGTGTACTACTTTGAGCACTATCTACAACATGTGCCAGACCTTTCCATCCCCATGACAATTAAATAGTAAGGTTTAACTTTAAAATGGGGGAGATTTAACTGTAAATGGTAGACTTTTAACTTTAAAATGAGAGAGATTTAGATTAAAGTGGGGAGATTTAACTTTAAGACAGGAGATTATTTACAGACCGCTGTCATATAGCTGGAATATTGCCAAGTGCGGTGTTAAACAACAAAAAAACAAACAAACACACAAACAAAGGAAGCCCCAGACTCAGTCAGACAGTCAGTGATTTACGTCTTCCTTCCAGGTGCCATGGCGATGCTGTTCGACCTGAAGGAGTTGGTGGACATGATGTCGATAGGCACACTGCTGGCCTACACCCTGGTGGCTGTCTGTGTTCTTATACTCAGGTTAGAAGTCTACCATGTACATACTGTATAGATAGGCACACTGCTGGCCTACACCCAGGTGGCTGTCTGTGTTCTTATACTCAGGTTAGAAGTCTACCATGTGCATACTGTATAGATAGGTACCCCGCTGGCCTACACCCTGGTGGCTGTCTGTGTCCTTATACTCAGGTTAGAAGTCTACCATGTACATACTGTATAGATAGGTACCCCGCTGGCCTACACCCTGGTGGCTGTCTGTGTTCTTATACTCAGGTTAGAAGTCTACCATGTACATACTGTATAGATAGGTACCCCGCTGGCCTACACTACACCCTGGTGGCTGTCTGTATCCTTATACTCAGGTTAGAAGTCATGTACATACTGTATAGATAGGTACCCCGCTGGCCTACACCCTGGTGGCTGTCTGTGTTCTTATACTCAGGTTAGAAGTCTACCATGTACATACTGTATAGATAGGTACCCCGCTGGCCTACACTACACCCTGGTGGCTGTCTGTGTTCTTATACTCAGGTTAGAAGTCTACCATGTACATACTGTATAGACAGGTACCCCGCTGGCCTACACCCTGGTGGCTGTCTGTATCCTTATACTCAGGTTAGAAGTCATGTACATACTGTATAGATAGGTACCCCGCTGGCCTACACCCTGGTGGCTGTCTGTGTTCTTATACTCAGGTTAGAAGTCTACCATGTACATACTGTATAGATAGGTACCCTGCTGGCCTACACCCTGGTGGCTGTCTGTGTTCTTATACTCAGGTTAGAAGTCATGTACATACTGTATAGATAGGTACCCCGCTGGCCTACACCCTGGTGGCTGTCTGTGTCCTTATACTCAGGTTAGAAGTCTACCATGTACATACTGTATAGACAGGTACCCCGCTGGCCTACACTACACCCTGGTGGCTGTCTGTATCCTTATACTCAGGTTAGAAGTCTACCATGTACATACTGTATAGATAGGTACCCCGCTGGCCTACACCCTGGTGGCTGTCTGTATCCTTATACTCAGGTTAGAAGTCATGTACATACTGTATAGATAGGTACCCCGCTGGCCTACACCCTGGTGGCTGTCTGTGTTCTTATACTCAGGTTAGAAGTCTACCATGTACATACTGTATAGATAGGTACCCCGCTGGCCTACACCCTGGTGGCTGTCTGTGTTCTTATACTCAGGTTAGAAGTCTACCATGTACATACTGTATAGATAGGTACCCCGCTGGCCTACACCCTGGTGGCTGTCTGTGTTCTTATACTCAGGTTAGAAGTCTACCATGTACATACTGTATAGATAGGTACCCTGCTGGCCTACACTACACCCTGGTGGCTGTCTGTGTTCTTATACTCAGGTTAGAAGTCTACCATGTACATACTGTATAGATAGGTACCCCGCTGGCCTACACCCTGGTGGCTGTCTGTGTCCTTATACACAGGTTAGAAGTCATGTACATACTGTATAGATAGGTACCCTGCTGGCCTACACTACACCCTGGTGGCTGTCTGTGTTCTTATACTCAGGTTAGAAGTCTACCATGTACATACTGTATAGATAGGCACACTGCTGGCCTACACCCAGGTGGCTGTCTGTGTTCTTATACTCAGGTTAGAAGTCTACCATGTACATACTGTATAGATAGGTTCCCTGCTGGCCTACACCCTGGTGGCTGTCTGTGTTCTTATACTCAGGTTAGAAGTCTACCATGTACATACTGTATAGATAGGTACCCTGCTGGCCTACACTACACCCTGGTGGCTGTCTGTGTTCTTATACTCAGGTTAGAAGTCTACCATGTACATACTGTATAGATAGGCACACTGCTGGCCTACACTACACCCTGGTGGCTGTCTGTGTCCTTATACTCAGGTTAGAAGTCTACCATGTACATACTGTATAGACAGGTACCCCGCTGGCCTACACCCTGGTGGCTGTCTGTGTTCTTATACTCAGGTTAGAAGTCTACCATGTACATACTGTATAGACAGGTACCCCGCTGGCCTACACCCAGGTGGCTGTCTGTGTTCTTATACCCAGGTTAGAAGTCTACCATGTACATACTGTATAGATAGGTACCCCGCTGGCCTACACCCAGGTGGCTGTGTGTGTCCTTATACTCAGGTTAGAAGTCTACCATGTACATACTGTATAGATAGGTACCCCGCTGGCCTACACCCTGGTGGCTGTCTGTGTTCTTATACTCAGGTTAGAAGTCTACCATGTACATACTGTATAGACAGGTACCCCGCTGGCCTACACCCAGGTGGCTGTCTGTGTTCTTATACTCAGGTTAGAAGTCTACCATGTACATACTGTATAGACAGGTACCCCGCTGGCCTACACTACACCCTGGTGGCTGTCTGTGTTCTTATACTCAGGTTAGAAGTCTACCATGTACATACTGTATAGATAGGTACCCCGCTGGCCTACACTACACCCTGGTGGCTGTCTGTGTTCTTATACTCAGGTTAGAAGTCTACCATGTACATACTGGCTGAGGCTAAAAAACATAATAATCATGGTTCTCAGGCACTGCCGGGATCATCATAATGTTGGCAGCATGTTTTGTTTTTATTTCCATTTTAACACCCCCCCCCCCCCCCAAAGAAACCTCTTAAATGTTCCAAGTCAAACTGTAGTCAAAATGCTACTCAAAAACATTTAAAATCTTCCGTTTTGACGCTTTTATCTTTAAATATGCTTGCTGGGTTGATATGTCCCAAACATGCAATTTTTTAAAAGAACACATCTATATATGTTTTTACATCTGAAAGTTTGGCTCAATTTGACCAACGACCCGTGAAGATCCAGGGTAGAATAGGTCTTCAGCAACCAATGCTTGCTGTAAAAGGCGACAATGCTTGTCGTAAGAGGCGGCTAATGGGATCGGGTGGTCAGGCTCGTTGACTTGGTTGAGGCATGTCATCTCATCCAAATTTTAATAACAGAGACAAATCGATTTTTTACAGACTGTCGCCATATAGCTGAAATATTGCTGAGTGTGGCGTTAAACAACAAACAAACAATTTGACCAAAAAGGGTCCTTGTGATACCTTTGCACAAATGTGGAATAAATGTATTTTTCTTCCGGTCATATCTCTTAACAAATGTCGGGAATATGAAAATCTCCAAGGTGTCACAAAAATAAATCACATTTGTAATTAGATACTAACTTGGTTGATGTCATCATCACTGGATTGTCTGGCCCAGACTTGAATATTACAGACTGACATCATATGGCTGGAACATTGCAGAGTGCAGCGTTAAACAACAAACAAACGAACAAACAGCAACAAACTGTAAAGAGATCACTTTAATAATGTTATTTCTATTTTGACAACCATTTTTTGTCAAAAATAAGTTGAAAACAAACCTAAGAAAACCTTTTAGGAGCTTTATCCTTCTAAATCAATCAATAATAAAATGAATACATTAATCAGTAAACTACTTACTACCTTAGAAAATTCATACATCTGTAGAATTTTTATTAAGGGGCCGATCATTTGATTTTTCGGAGGGAAGGAAGGGGACCTGTGATTTTGTATCGAGGTTACCGTATTCGACGTAATAAGCGCCCAGGGCGCTCTAAAAATTAGAAATAGGGGGCTCTTATTAGAATATTATTTTGAGTTGAAAAATCGTAAATTTCGTTGTTTATGCTGACAGCCTGAAATGTTTATATACGACAGAAATATTTTTCCAGGATTTAATTGCCCATAATTAAGGGTGCATATAACATACGAGTACGTATTATACACAAATAAATAAGTCTTGTGTACGTAAACCACTTGGAAGGGGTGCTAATTGAGATTGTTCACTAGCCAATATATTAGCAAATATCGCCGTGGGCGCTTATTAGAGGGGGGCGCTTATTACGTCGAATACGGTATTTATTTTTTCAGCTACAGCTGCAAACCCAGATATTTTGTTATTTAAAACAATGAGCCTGAATGTTTTATAAAGAAAAACGCCTTGCAACAATGTATTCTATCCGGCAGGCCATTTCTTTTGTTTCAACGTCTGAAGCATAACTATTTTTTTCAAGAATTTTCGTGGACAATTCTTTCTTTTTTTCAATTAACTTTTGTCATTTTTTTTCTTCAGGATTTACAGTATTTTTACCTGTATATTATGACATCTTTACTTAAAATTTATATATAAAAAAATATATTTAAAAAACGCAAGTTCAGTTATTTTTATTTAACGTATGTTTTTTAATATAAACAGTGAATTCTCCGGAGATGGATGCTCAAGAATCAGTCAGTATAGTTTTGGTGAATACACTGCAGCCACATCACACTCAGGATCTAAATTTATATCAGTATTGATATATATTGTTTTGAAAAACGTTTTTTGCAGTTCAAAAAGACGTACATGTCAGTCATTTTAAGAGTGCTTCATTGGATTAATGGCCGGCGAGTGAGGTGAACCTCACGTAAAATATATTTAAAAGTGAGGATAGGACTTTACAAATTCCAGTTTATCATATTATGGTATTATGGTGTTGAAATCTAACATGTAAACCTACATATATACCTACATGTTTACTGAGTATGTATATTTACCTGTGTTTACATTCCAGTATGTATATTTACCTGTGTGCATGTTCCAGTATGTATATTTACCTGTGTGCATGTTCCAGTATGCATTTACCTGTATGCATGTTCCAGTATGTATATTTACCTGTGTGCATGTTCTAGTATGTATATTTACCTGTGTGCATGTTCTAGTATGTAAATTTAACTGTGTGCATGTTCCAGTATGCATTTACCTGTATGCATGTTCTATTATGTATATTTACCTGTGTACATGTTCCAGTATGTATATTTACCTGTGTGCATGTTCCGGTATGTATATTTACCTGTGTGCATGTTCCAGTATGCATTTACCTGTATGCATGTTCCAGTATGTATATTTACCTGTGTGCATGTTCTAGTATGTATATTTACCTGTGTGCATGTTCTAGTATGTAAATTTAACTGTGTGCATGTTCCAGTATGTATATTTACCTGTGTGCATGTTCCAGTATGTATTTACCTGTATGCATGTTCCAGTGTGTATATTTACCTGTGTGCATGTTCCAGTTTGCATTTACCTGTATGCATGTTCTAGTATGTAAATTTAACTGTGTGCATGTTCCAGTTTGTATTTACCTGTGTGCATGTTCCAGTATGTATATTTACCTGTGTACATGTTCCAGTATGTATATTTACCTGTGTGCATGCATGTTCCAGTATGTATATTTACCTGTGTACATGTTCCAGTATGTATATTTACCTGTGTGCATGTTCCGGTATGTATATTTACCTGTGTGCATGTTCCAGTATGCATTTACCTGTATGCATGTTCCAGTATGTATATTTACCTGTGTGCATGTTCTAGTATGTATATTTACCTGTGTGCATGTTCTAGTATGTAAATTTAACTGTGTGCATGTTCCAGTATGTATATTTACCTGTGTGCATGTTCCAGTATGTATTTACCTGTATGCATGTTCCAGTGTGTATATTTACCTGTGTGCATGTTCCAGTTTGCATTTACCTGTATGCATGTTCTAGTATGTAAATTTAACTGTGTGCATGTTCCAGTTTGTATTTACCTGTGTGCATGTTCCAGTATGTATATTTACCTGTGTACATGTTCCAGTATGTATATTTACCTGTGTGCATGCATGTTCCAGTATGTATATTTACCTGTGTACATGTTCCAGTATGTATATTTACCTGTGTGCATGTTCCGGTATGTATATTTACCTGTGTGCATGTTCCAGTATGTATATTTACCTGTGTGCATGTTCCAGTATGCATTTACCTGTGTGCATGTTCTATTATGTATATTTACCTGTGTGCATGTTCCAGTATGTATATTTACCTTAGTGCATGTTCCAGTATGTATATTTACCTGTGTGCATGTTCCAGTATGTATATTTACCTGTGTGCATGTTCCAGTATGTATATTTACCTGTGTGCATGTCCTAGTATGTATATTTACCTGTGTGCATGCATGTTCCAGTATGTATATTTACCTGTGTTCATGTTCCAGTATGTATATTTACCTGTGTGCATGTTCCAGTATGCATTTACCTGTGTGCATGTTCCAGGTATCAGACAGACGAATACCTGACAGGTGAAGTGCCTGACCAGGCTATTACCAGGAAGATCTCGTCCCGGGACCTCTTCAGTCCACGGAGTAGCGACCCCACTAGCATCTCAGGCAGCTTAACATCGTACAGTGTAGGACTGCTTCGTAAGTTGGGGCAGTGGGGTAGCCTGTAGGGCAGGGATGAGTCCAAATTTACTACCCGGATACCCACACCCCTATTACCTGACCCTACCCGGGTACCCACTCAAGGTCTCAAGGGGTGGTCGGGTAGCCTAGTGGTTAAAGCTTTCGCTCGTCACGCCGAAGACCCGGGTTCGATTCCCAAAATGGGTACAATGTGTGAAGCTCATTTCTGGTGTCCCCCGCTGTGATATTGCTGGAAAATTGCTAAAGCCGGCATAAAACCATACTCGCTCACTCACTCACTCAAGGTCTCAAGAGAGAGGTACAAAATGTCTGATTGGGAATAGTTTGACCGTAGCCCTGGGAAAAAGGATTTAGATACACGTATGAATTAAATGATCTGGTCATGCATACACTGATGTTGATAGAAGTTTTATCCTTATTCAAACATAATAAAGTCAGAAGGAATGGGTGCATAGTCAGAAAGAAATGTGAACACAAGTGACTTGTTGTGTTACCACAGAGTTCTAGATAATTTTTCTCGTTAGACCATATATCACGTGACTAACCACGGGTCCGGGTAGTCCTGTGGGTACCTGGATCCTACTCAGTTGGTAACCCCCCCCGACCCAAGTAACCGAGTTTCACATCCCAGCCCTAGTGGCCTAAGGGTTAAAGGGTCCGCTCGTCACGTCGGGTTTTCAATTCCCCATATGGGTATGATGTGTGAAGCCTATTTCTGGTGTCGCACACTGTGATATTTGCTGGAATATTTCTAAAAGCGGCATTAAATCCAACTTATTAACTCAATCTATGAAAGTTAACTCTGGCCCTTTGAAGTGGAACTGCGTAAATATTTGTTGTAATTTACTGGTGACATTGTTTTTGTTCTGCGAAGCTTCAGTTCCCTTCACAAAGAGAATATCCAACCATGGTTTTCTTCCACATGACCTTGGAGATTTCTTTTAGTACATGTCATATGAGTTCAAGGTCACAAGACTTGTTGTTGTGACACTTTCTGAAAACTAAACCAGACACGTCTCTGACTAAACATGGTTAATATCCTCCATATGATATGGCCTTGATGATATGGTTTGGTCAGTAAGGGTCAAGATTCTTTTCCATGTCTGTCTAAGGCATGCTACCACCACAGACATGTAGTTTAATATTTGCACGAATATTAACAAGTCCTACAGCATTAAGGATGTCAGTGGCATAGTTATGGTTTCTGTGAAACGTTGTATCGTTCATTTGGAATTTTGACTCTTGAATCTTAAAAATTTCTACTGAAAAAGGTCAAGGTCATGGTCAAGGTAACATTCAGGTTGGGGCCATTCAAACGTTAATAATTCTTATTTTGTAAAGCAAATTAACCAAGTTTTTGTTACCTGCAGCGGTCTATGTATGATAAACTGGCCTCTGTGCCTAGCAGATAGTGATGCTCAGAGAGCGGAAGGTCGGTTGTTTGATCTTTAGGAGCTTCATCCCAAAGGTGTTAAAAACTGGTACTGCTTGGTTGTTAGCCTGCCTAAGGGGCTTCAACAACGACTGGTTGGTTCTGAGTTAGTATACTGTGTCTGAGTGGGGTATTCATGTGGGCTAACTAAAAAACAATGGCTTTTGTCCAGACCAGTACAAGCACATACACACACACACACACAGAGACACACACACACACAGAGACACACACACACACACACACCCACACACCACACCACACCACACAGAGACACACACACAGAGACACACACACACACACACACACACACACACACACACACACACACACACACACACACACACACATACACACACACACACTGTTGCTATATATGTGCAATAACCCTAGAACCTTATTTCATTTAACATGTATGAATGACAAATCCTGTTTTCTGATACCAAACTATGCTTTCAGTTCTTGCGATCACTGCTTTGTGTGCCATGTTAATCTACGCGGAGCCGTACCTGGTAAAGCTTTCATGGTGGGCAATACTCCTGACAATTGTGTTTGGCTCTGCTGTGCTGCTGGCTGTCATCGTTGTCTGGAGACAACCACAGAATAAATCTAAACTATGGTTTAAGGTAAGTCTCATAAACTATTTCTACATTTGTTTCACTGACTGCATACTGACTATTTTCTCCTCCGTGTCTGATCATCCACTACCTGTGATTCTCTGCTGAGGTCTGACTCTCTTATTTCCCCTGTACATCTTCAGATGTCTTCCCATGATGCTCAGGCTTAGTTCTGACATCTTTATTTCCCCTTTACATCTTCGAAGGTTTCTTGTCTTCCCATGCTGGTTTCCGACCAAACTTATTTCCCCTGTACATCTTCAGATGTCTTCCCATGATGCTCAGGCTTAGCTCTGACATCTTTATTTCCTCTTTACATCTTCGAAGGTTTCTTGTCTTCCCATGCTGGTTTCCGACCAAACTTATTTCCCATTTACATCATCAGAGGTATCCTGTCTTCCCATGCTGATTTCCGACCAAACTTATTTCCTCTTTACATCTTCAGATGTCTTCCCATGATGCTCAGGCTTAGTTCTGACATCTTCATTTCCTCTTTACATCTTCGAAGGTATCCTGTCTTCCCATGCTGATTTCCGACCAAACTTATTTCCCCTTTACTTCTTCAGAGGTATCATGTCTACCCATGCTGATTTCCGACCAAACTTATTTCCCCTGTACATCTTCAGATGTCTTCCCATGATGCTCAGGCTTAGCTCTGACATCTTTATTTCCCCTTTACATCTTCAGAGGTATCCTGTCTACCCATGCTGATTTCCGACCAAACTTATTTCCCCTGTACATCTTCAGATGTCTTCCCATGATGCTCAGGCTTAGTTCTGACATCTTTATTTCCCCTTTACTTCTTCAGAGGTATCCTGTCTTCCCATGCTGATTTCACTCACTCACTCTGAAGCTTTTCAATTTTATCATTATTGTTATGACAAGGACCCCACAAATTGCATAAATTTGACAATGACATATACCGTATTCAACGTAATAAGCGCCCAGGGGGCTCTCAAAATTAGAAACAGTGAGCTGTTATTAGAATATTATTTTGGTGAAAAAAACAGAGTTGAAAGATACATTTTGTTGTTTATGCTGACAGCCTGAAATGTTTATGTAAGACAGATATATTTTTCCAGAAGTTAATTGCCCATAATAAAGGGTGCATATGACACACAAGTGCGTATTATACGCGAATAAATAAGTCTTGTGTACATTGATCAATCGGTAGGGGTGCTAATTGGGATTGTTCACTAGCCAATATATTAGCAAATATCGCTGTGGGCGCTTATTAGAGTGGGGCGCTTATTACGTCGAATACAGTATTTCTTCTTTTTATCTTGTCTACCAGTATTTCTTCATCGTAATTGTTGACCACCAATATTTCTTGTTTTGATCTTGACAGATGCCCTGTCTTCCGATGTTTATTCATCAACAACTTTGAGCACTAATATTTCTTGTTATATTTCTTATCAGGTTCCAGGCCTACCCTGGATTCCTGCTCTGAGTGCCTTCATCAACATCTATTTAATGATGAAACTCTCAGTCCCTACATGGATCAGATTTGGAGTCTGGATGGCTATAGGTAGGAAGTATTCCATTAATACTGTGTTGTACTGACCCGTGAAGATCCGCGGTAGAATAGGTCTTCAGCAACCCATGCTTGCCGTAAAAGGCGACTATGCTTGTCGTAAGAGGCGACTGACAGGATCGGGTGGTCAGGTTCGCTGACTTGGTTGATGCATGTCATCGATCCCAATTACGTGGATCGCTGCTTATGATGTCAATCACGGGATTGTCTAATCCAGACTTGATTATTTACAGACCGCCGTCATATAGCTAGAAAATTGCTGAGTGCGGCGTTAAACAACAAACAAACAAACAAACAAACTAAGTTGTACTGGTGTCAGGTTGTGGATAGTTCCCACACAGACACTGGGTACTAGTCTGTGGCACTGACTCTGTCCAGCAAAGGTACATGCTAGATTCGGGTCTTCAGCATCCCATGCTTGCCGTAAAGGGCAACTATGCTTGTCATAAGAGGTGGCTAACGGGATCGGGTGGTCAGGCTCACTGACTTGGTTGATGCATGTCATTGATCCCAATTGCATGGATCAATGATCATGATGTCCATCACTGGATTGTCTAGTCCAGACTTGATTATGTATAGACTGCCATCATATAGCTAGAATATTGCTGAGTGCGGCGTTAAACAACAAACTAACAAACAAACATGCCAGATTTTTTCATAACCCTGCTGTGATGGAGTTGACTCTGGTAATTGATCACTGATCATCCAGAAAACAGAATATTTTTTTATTCTTGTGTTGTAGACTTTAGGCTAAGTAACTATCTATATGCAACAGAAAACAAAAAAAGATGACACTTTCTCCAACCATGGCATTTCCATTTGCTTTGCTTTTCCCAATACAACCACCTCTTTTATCTCCAGCTGTGTCAAAGTGGCTTTGTTTTACATTTAAAAAGAGGGGTTAAAGCATTAAATGCATTTGCTTCATTCACAAATATGCTGATCGCACAATTCTTTACACTTGAGAAGCCTCATAGTTTAACAGGGGCACGGGTGGCCAAGTCATCTATGCAATTTGCTGTGCAAAGTTGCATCCCATGGGCACACCAGAAACCTGTGATTGTGGGTTTGAATCCCGGTTCTCCCCAATTATTCTTGTAGGTTTGTCAGCACCATTCCCGTGCTTGTGTGGTAACCTTCCGAAATCTCCATCACTTTGGGCTTTCCTCCCATATTAAGCTGACATGCCGCGGTATAACTGGAATGCTGTTAAAAATGGTGTCAAATCCAACTCACTCATTATTAAACCATTTGTGTTACATCCCCGAAATGGATACATACTGATTCTTGTGGATCCCCTTTAGTGATTACTCTCAGCAGCGTAACATCACACGCCTATTTCTACCTGCACTCATCTTGACCTTTGCACTGACCTTGACCTTTCCCTCACCAGGATTTTCCATTTACTTCACCTACGGCATCTGGCAGAGCAGCGGTTCCCTTAACCCCGAGCACAACAACCTTCCTGCCTCAAAGTTAGAACTCCTGAAAGATGATGATGATGAGGATGTATCATTGATACAGCGTCCTCATGAACAGCTGTATAGTGATGAAGAATCCGGGACGTAATACAAAATACTGCATTTGCTCCACAAAGAGGGAGAAGTGGGGTGATGAGCCACAAAAATAGAATTCTTGTTTTCTGGTGGCTGGACTGATCCATCCAATAACTCGTTACCCTCAGATATTTAACATTCAGCACTAGTTGTGCGACCTCATCAAAACTTGCATTAAACTATATGTTTATTGTTTGTCCCCCAACTAACCATATCTTATATACCGGTACATATATATCTAACTTATTTTTATGACCTGAAACTGAAGTATTTTATGTTTGTTTTGTTCAATATGTCTCACCATGTGTGTTATACAGTGGTGTGATGATAAAATGTGTTACATAACACATTTAGTGAATGTGTTTAATAATGTGTTACATTGCACATTTGGTGAATGTGTTAAGTAATGTGTTACATAACGCATGGGATGAATGTGTTAAATAATGTGTCACACAACGCATGGATGAATGTGTTAAATAATGTGTTACATAACGCCTGTTGTAAATATGTTACATACCCCTGTGGTGAATGTGTTAAATAATGTGTTACTTAATGCATGTTGTGAATGTGTTAAATAATGTGTTACATAACACATGTGATGAATGTGTTAGATAATGTGTTACACAATGCAAGTGAATGTGTTACATGATGTGTTACATAACGCATCTAGTGAACTTGTTAAATAATGTGTTACATAACGCATGTGATGAATGTGTTAAATCACGTGTTACATAATGCATGTGATGACTGTGTTAAATAATGTATTACATAATGCATGTGGCGAATTTGTGTTATGCAAAGTGTTCAATCTCATTAAAATCAGATCTTAGTTCTCGCTACCGCTAAACAAAGATCTGAGGACACCCTATTACAGGTCACATCGGACGTACCTTGCACGAACTTTGATCGACCAACGAAACGACTGACAAGAAGTCGACATTAGCCAATCAGAAGGCAGCTTTCTCGTGCTTTACGGCACTTATTTCAAATTCGCGACTACGCCTCGAAACATATTTTGGCAAATTCTAGATTAAAAAATTGAAACCTGAACTAAAGAACACTCTGGAATGGCTGATAGATGGTCTAGATTGTATGGATTCAGTTGTTAAACCCGTAACTATTGTTCGGAATACCCTGTGTTTAGAAACCACATTCCGACTGTCACTTTCATGATCAGGTAAGCGACGCTCTGATTGGTTGGATGAAAGGTCGTTCTGACATGACACCTAATGGGATGTCCTCAGATCTTTGTTTAGCGGTAGCCAGAACGAAGATCAGATTTTAATGAGATTGGCAAAGTGTTGCAATGTGTGTGATGAATGTGTGTTACGCAAAGTGTTACAATGTGTGTGAAGAATGTGTGTTATGCAAAGTGTTGCAACATGTTATAGAGTATGTGGATCACACTGTTCGATGAATGTGTGTGAGGCCACACGTTATACAATATTGTTGAGGCATGTGTGTCAGCATGTGTGATACCAGTATGTGTGTGATTCACATTAGTTGTAACTATTTGTACAGAATGTTAGGCCGGTGTGTTACACAAAATGTGATACTATTATGTGTGTGATGTACATTTGTCCTAACTATGTGTTTCCATGGTTACAGAATGTGAGGCATGTGTGTTATACAACATGATACCACATTTTGTCATCCACATATACAATGCATGTTTTTTGTACGTATTAGAAAAATAAATACACCAAAAATACGTACAATATGACATTGGATCTCAAGAAACCGTATATCTGATGCAAATCCCTTCTCATGAATATGAAACTGGACGTTGCCAACTGCAAGCATGTCCCAAACTATTATAAAACAAGCTGTGTCTGAGATTGACAGACAGGGCTGAACTATCATTATTGTTTTACAATGCTTGCATATAATCCTTGTCCAGTGAATTGGTGATGTTTTTATTCTGTTACAACTGAAACACAAGACTTCAGCTCCACAAATTGGAAATTCTCTGATTATGGCGTATCGTCTTCTGTAAAGGGTTGAGTTGTTGTATTAGACACAGAGGTCTCCATTCACAGAGGTCTCCATGGACAGAGGTCTCAATGGACAGACGTGTCAACCACATTGCAAAAGGAAGAGAATTTATGGATGTCAATTTCTTTATCATAATAAAGAAGTTGACATCCATCAATTCTCTTCGTTATGTGTATCAGTTCTAAATGCCTTTCAAAGACTTCACATTGCAAAAGATTGTTCCTTCCAAATTAAGGAATATTGGTAACATCAGTACCATCCTCCTTGTTCTCCCCCGTCCCCCGTCATATCAAGGATGGATTACTGCAATACTGTTCTGACTGGTGCCCCAACATCCATTATTAAATAGCTGCAGCATATTCAAATCCATCTTCCCGCGGCAAGAGCATCCACTGGCCTTTTTATCAGTCTTGGTTCCACCCTTGCCACATCAAGCCCACATTCCTGTGCTAAATATGATTGGACTATCTCACATATTGATTGTCCAATCAGAGAACGTTTCATGAAATCAACATCCACGACTGGTACACCTTTGTATGAAAGTGAGTTACCACTGCCTGTATTTGTTGACATGTCTTTTTCATCTTTTAAACCCCCCAACGATTTCCTATTTTTTGTGTGTCAGGGATGAAATCGCGAAATTATTCGTTCGACTAGGTCGTCGCCTATGGTAGGCACCATCTTTGTGAAGCTATACGAGATAAGAACAGCGATCTGATTGGATATCAGGTTTTCATTACAAGGGGCACAACTCCTGATCTACACGATGTGGTGCCAGGGTTGAGCCAAGAAAAGTGGCCGTGATGTGGCATGGTTGGAACTAGGCTTTGATATGGGCTAGTGGCCACGTTTGCCTTTTGATGGTTCAAAACACAAACGCTAGGATTGTGTCATGCTGCAGCAAGCATCATCCCATCATCCCCGTCCTTCACAACTGTACATTGGCTTCCACTTCATCAGGATAAGCTACAAAATTCTCTGTCTTGTGTATCCGGTGATGCTCCACAATATTTGTGTGTCCTGCTTAGCAGATGCACTCCAACAAGATCTCCTCTTTCGCTGCCACCACACAGTGGAATAATTTTCCAAAATATACAGTTGAGACAGTCTCCAAGCTTTCACTCACCCAATCTTGTCTGAAAAACTCATATGTTCCTGATGCCTTTCAGGATTAATTGCTGTGGTTGTGCACTTCAAGCATGCATTGTGCATGGTGTAATGCATGATCTAAGTTTTTTTTAGTTTTTTTATTTTATTATTATTATTAAAATTAAAATTAAAATTAAAAAATGCATCAAAGAGTGTTTTGGTGATCCTGGTACAGTCATTTATTATTAGTATTATTATTATGGTTGACAGTGAGAACAATACAATAGTAGAGATGACTTACACTAACCAGACCACATCTAAAAGGTTGATCTTTCTGGTGCACAACTGGTCATACTCACCAGCCATTGTGATCTGTCACTGTTCCATTAACATCAGCTCTACTGAGGCCTGTGATGACATGTGTGCAGTGTGAGAGATGAAGCTGTTTCTGGGTCAGAGAGGTCTTAAAGGGCAGAACATGCTGTGTATTCAATCTGGTGGGTAAGATGAATACTTGTACCTTTGTAAAATATTGTATAAGTTATCTTTATTTTAAATCAATTACATGTATGTGTGTATTCACCATTGGCATCAATAGACTTAGTGGTTAATTTGAAAAAAAATATTTTGTAGTGTGGATGTATATAATCTTTGTAACCATAGTTGTGATAATAGTTTAAAGTATTATATTGTGCCAGGTTAATTATATTGCGTTACCTACAAAATCCAAACAGATGCCACCCCTCCAAATAAATGAATGAATGAATGAATGAATGAATGAATGAATGCAATCAAACCCATTACAAAAGAAAGCAGTTCCAGGGAATCCATATATGGAAATATCCAAATTCATTTTTGAGAAAGTACACTCCATATATGGAAAGTTTGGAACACATTCCATGCATATTTGGAACCAAAGTCATTATGAAGTAAAGACAGTCCACATATGGGAAGTTTGGAACTAACATTTATTCCATGCATGAAAAAAACCCACTGTTCGGCTTCTCCTTCCAGCGAAAAAAAGAATAGTTTGTCTCTTACAAAAAATCCAGCCCCACTCCTCCCAAACAAATACTAAATGGAAGGTCCCTAACTCAAACTGCATACTGCTGAAATCAGTCAATATCCTTAATTGCACAGAGAGCTGTCTCCATATAACACCTGTGTACAATGAGTGCAGGGTAAGAATATTCATCCTCCACAACTTATGCTGGTGGTAAGTTGACAATCATTCTCGAGTGCATACTGATTCAGTGACCAGTGACCGGGGTAATAATAGCACTTTGAGCATGCCCCTGAGTGGTTTGGAAATATGCGCAATATAAATGGCCTATTATAATTTAAAAAAATTAATTTTTCATATTATTATTATTATTATTATAAAAAAAATTGGATCGGATAGTCAGGCTCGTTGACTTGCATGTTATCATATCTCAATTGCGTGGATCGATGCTCATGATATCGATCACTGGCTTGTGTGACTGACTTGATCATTTACAGACCCCTGTCATAATGCTGAGTGCTGTGCTTACAGGACAACACTGATTGAATCCCCTTTGATATTTCTGGTATTTGCTACAAGTTGGGTAAAACCCAACTCACTGACTGGACGTTTTTACCAGGTCTTGGAGCACAGTCGCTGGTGTGTTCCAGACTCCAGTTCACACATCAGGTTTAATGATATGGCTGTTACTGATGGGTCTCCACTTTCATGGAGGATTGTGGATGTTTCTTGTTCTCAAAATGTATTGTTTTGTACATTCTCCCTATCAGTGGGTTACTTGTTTTATACAGTGGGCTGTTTTATTCAATAAATCTGTTATCAAGAACAATAAATTGTTCTCTGGGTCTAAGAATGTATTTTTCGTATTTGTTGAACATCGATTTCAGTAAATGAAATGTACTGCTAAAGCAAATTCTTTTCGTGACCAGGCTCAGCTTAGTATGGAAGCCTTTTAGGGCCATTTGTTTAAAAAAAAAAATTAGATACTAACTGAAAATTTCAAGATAGTATCTTTATATTTCAACTTAGTTTCTTGAAATTTCAACCTAGTATCTTGAAATTTCAAGATAGTATCGAAAAAAATTAAAAAAACAAATGGCCCTAAAAGGCTTCCGTAGCTTAGGAATCGTACTGGATATATAAATCCAAATATACATAAATCAAGATATGCATGTTTGTCTGTCTGTCTATCTGTCTGTCTGTGTCTGTCCGTCCGTATATGGTATATGGTCTCTGGTCCGAGGTATTTATTTAGTTTGTATGTGAGGCAGTACCAAATGTGCTTCACGAATTCAAAATCGAGTCCAGTCGGCTTATTCCGTAACCTGCATCAATGGGGCATCAACAGCATTCGTGCCCCTCTCATGGCCATTTTTGCGACCGGATTCCGTCTTTGCGCAAACGGGCATACCTGAAATAATTGTTAACTCGTCGCGTTATGGTTCACATATATTTCCCCATATATTATATATATTTCAGATGCAATTTAAGGCACATATGGACATGCGGAATTATACAGTATGATTAAACACATTTAACTGTGCCTTTGGTATATTTTTAGATGCAATACATATGTAAATTCAAAAATTATTTCTGAGGGATTCATACGCGCATTCTGATTGGTTTGTCGTATTTTCGCACATAACATTCATCGATAGGGAGACGAGTCTCCTTGCAGGTTACGGAAAGGGGCGAGTGGTGACGAATGCAATAGAGCAGGGGTGCTTTATTAAATCACTGTGTACCGTGTTACGTCCAGTCCCACTGCATATAGTGCGTCTAATATGACAGCAGGGGAAACGAAAACAGTTTGAATTGTCATTTATCGTGATGTGTCATACGATAGTAACCTGCACGTAACTAGTTTTAATTACCCGCCTGAGGCGCTCATTATAATAATCACAAAATCTGGTTTGTGATAATGTCCCACCCGAAGTAGTGCATCGGCAACCTTACGCCGGAGGGGTGGGGGCGTGTGTGCCTTAAGCGTTTTTTAATGGTGCCAGCATCCGCTGATCCTCTGTTTTAATCCTAT